CCCGGCCTTGGCGGCAGTAAGTAAATCGGCACCGGGCACCGGCCGCAGCTGGGCGGGAGATGGGGGGGAGAAGGGAGGGGGGGCATGGAGCCGGGCGGGGTTGGGGGGCCACCTGGGGTAGGTGACACCCCCCCCACCCAGCCCTCGACGGGCTGCCCGAGCGGTGTGCGTGGCCGCGGAAGGGAGCGCGGTCCCCGCACCGCATCTTCCCGGCCCCCGGTGGTGCGGGGCTGCCAGCCCGGACGGGGCGGGAAAAGCCCCAGGAGATACCTCCTCGGCAGGACCTCGCTCCTCCGTAAAGAGCCTTCAGGCCCCGAGGGGAGCGAGGAGCCAGGAAAAAAGGGGGACGCTTTCACCCAACCGAGTCTGACTGTGCTTGGTCTGCTGGGGGAAATCACAGCCTTCTGAGTTCAGCACCGTCGGTAAATCCCGTGGTGAGAGGGAAAAAAGAGAAAAGGAAGAGAGAAAGGAAGGAAGAGAGAAGGAAAGAAGGAAAGGAGAGAAAGAGAGAAGAAGGAAAGAAAGAAAGAGAGAGAGAAAGAAGAATAAGAGAAAGACAGAAAGGAAAAAAAGAATAAGAGAAAAAGAGGAAGGAAGGAAGGAGGGAAGAAGAAAAGAGAATAAGAGAAAGAAAGAGAAAGGAAGGAAGGTAGAAGGGAGGAAAGAAGGAAGAAAGAAAGAAGAAAAGAGAATAAGAGAAAAAGAAAAGAAAAGAAAAGAAAAGAAAAGAAAAGAAAAGAAAAGAAAAGAAAAGAAAAGAAAAGAAAAGAAAAGAAAAGAAAAGAAAAGAAAAGAAAAGAAAAGAAAAGAAAAGAAAAGAAAAGAAAAGAAAAGAAAAGAAAAGAAAAGAAAAGAAAAGAAAAGAAAAGAAAAGAAAAGAAAAGAAAAGAAAAGAAAAGAAAAGAAAAGAAAAGAAAAGAAAAGAAAAGAAAAGAAAAGAAAAGAAAAGAAAAGAAAAGAAAAGAAAAGAAAAGAAAAGAAAAGAAAAGAAAAGAAAAGAAAAGAAGAGAAGAGTTTAGGAGAATATGTCAGAAATAACTGAACGCGACCCCGCCTTGTCCCCCTTCCGCAGAGAAATCCCTAAACCCACCCAGACTTTTCCCCAGCTGAGAGGTTTGCCGGGCAAACGGGCAGGGAACTTGGCCGGGCCCGGACCCCCCAGCCCCGTCCCCTCCGCCCCCGCGGAGCCGGGCGCCGCCGGTCTCCG